GAGGAAGGGCTGTGTTGAAATGTGGAGGTTGTTGAGAGAGATGTTGAGAAGGCGGAGAGCGCGGATTTTTTAGGGGTGGCTGGGTGCTGGTTGCAGTGCCACCACTCGTGGGGATGGGGAGGAAGGAGAGAGGGAGTGGGGAGTGCCAAGGGAAGAGAAGTGGAGAATGTGCTAGGATGGTTGCATGTCCACCCACACACTACTCACTCACTCACTCACACATCAACCCGTCCACTCACCTCCCAACCACTCGTTCATACCCTCATTCCCCCACTCACTCACGCACTCACTCACTCACTCACCTCCCACGGAATTGGTCACAATGAAAGCCTCCCTGCCCACCACCTGGTCAATGAAGTCAACTCAAGTGAGTCAATAAAGCCAACTTTCCCATCCATTCACTGACTCACCTCCCACGGAGTTGGTGACAATAAACGCCTCCTCGCCCACCACCTGGTCAATGAAGTCAACGGCCTGCTGCCCCCAGTTCTCAAACGTGTACTCTGACTCGCCACCACTCACACCAGCAGCAGCAGCAGCAGCGACACCACCCCCCTGCTCTTTCTGCTGCTCCTCCTGCCTCCCTTGTCCATTCTTAATCCGGTAGCTAGGAGTGGGTTTATCCGAGTAGCCATACCCGAGCAAATCAATCGCAAACACGCGGTGCCCCGATGCGCCCAGGGCTTTAAGCGTGTGCCGCCAGTGGTCGCTGCTGGCGCCGAATCCGTGGATGAGGAGGACTGGAGGGCCCTGGGAACCGGACTGCTGGTACCTTATTGTGTGGCCGCGCCACTGCCACGTGCTGAGGGTTTGGGCAAAGAACAAGGAGGAAGGGAAGGGAATGGGAATGGGAATGGGAAAGAGAGTATGCGCCCAGCGCTCGCAGCGTGTGCCGCCAGTGGTCGCTGCTGGCGCCGAATCCGCGGATGAGGGAGGGAGAGGGGAACGAGAATAGGCGGGCCCCGGGAGCTTGATGCCTGGCATCGGATAAAATGGCCAGGTGGTGAAGGGGGAAGAGAGGAGGAGGGGTAGGGGGCAAAGGGAGAGGAAGGGGGAGGGAAGGCGCCCACAGCCATGTGCTGGGGGTGATTTGGAAGGGGAGGAGGGGAGGAAGGGTGAAGAGCTTGATGACGTGAACACCCTCACCACTCGAGGCGCCTCAAAAGGACCCTCACCACTCCATCGATTTCCTAACCACCTCACTCACTTCCTCAGTCGCTCACTCCCTCACTTGCTTTCTCATCCCGGATTCAACACGTTCATCCCTCACTCACCGCGTTTCCACCACGGGTCGGTCCACGTCGGATTCAGACCCTGCCGCGTCAGCAACCGCCGCGCTCGCTCCCTCTTCCCCTTCCGACTCCCCTTCCCCCAGCAAATCCTCCACCGCCTCCGCCGCAACCTCCTCCGCCAGTGCGCCTTCCGCCCCCAGCCCCACTGGCGGGCGCTTCAGCGACGCCGCCGCTACACTTCCGCGCCCCCCACTCCCCCCGGTGTGCGCTGAATCCGCCGGTTCTCGCGGCGGAATTCTCCCTGACAACGCTACCGCCGCGCGAACACATGTGCGCGCACTGGCGGAACTCCACGGAAATTGCGCAACGCAAAGGGGAGACGGGGAGGCTGACGTCGCCGGCTGCGACACAAATCGGGACGCATTCATGACCGTTGGATGCGAGGGAGTGAACGGACGTGATGGACGGGGGAGGAGGAGCGACGTGTCCATAGCGGCCGCGATGCGGGTCAGTCTCGGCGCGTAGGCCTAACTCTGATCGTGGTTCGACTAACCCGCCTGACCGTCTGTTGCCTAGTAAGCAGCCCAAGCGTACTCAGCTTACTGGAGCCGTACCTAGGAATGAGGGGTGAGCGACATTCGTACTGCCTTTTAGAGGCCATTCTTGAAATGAATGTGCTGGGAAATGGTAAATTTCTCTGAAGTCCTGCTGGCGATGACGTGGCGCAACGACGTTGAGCAGGAGTCGCGACCTAGAGAACCACGTGCTGCACTGTCCTCCACCAAGTTGACGTACCCGGTAGGGAGAGTCCTGATTTTGTTACTGTACAATTAGGCCAGAAAGTGTTTGAAATGAAACTGCTAGCAAGGTATTTCCAAAAAAAACAAGAGGCGACGAAATCGTCTTAGGGTTGCGAAGCGTTTTGCGTATTTACATACATTTGTACAACTAAATCTGTACATGATGCTGTAGTATGACACTAAGATGTACTTCCTCTCACTTGGAGAGTAATGAAAAATCGCGTCTGCAGGAGTCAATCCGGAGACTTTTCGAATTCCCGTCCAATTTCAATCATCTACAACAGTACTGATGTTGTGCATGAACAAATAATTTGATTGGACTTCAAGCTTTGCGACGAATCAGAAACTGCTCTAGGGTTTGTTTGTTCCTTTTTTTTTCTCGCTGCTCCTTCTCGATAGATGAGCTCCCCGCCAGACACGCTCCACCTACTAGTGCAAGGTAAGAAAATCAAATCAAACAAAATCAGATCGTTACAAGCTAGACTAACATTTCTCACTCTCATATCGTAGTCGTTTAACATAGTATTGGCCGCAGGTTTTTTAAGGCTTAGGTTCTAGGATTGTTGTAGATACTTTAGCTTTAGGTCTTTCACTAGATTGCATCCATGCTTCAAGTATTCATCGCCTCTTTCCTGTGTTGCATGCTTACAGTCTCGTATTTGCATATTTCATTGACGTTTTTACTTCCTTTCATCTTATGTTTTTGTTAGGTCGATTTGAACGCCAACCTTCTTTGCCTTGATAGCCAGATTGAAATTAACTCGACCCGAGCAGCATGTCGTTCTCTCTCTCTCTCGTTCTATCTCTCTCATTCTCTCGTTCTCTCTCTCTTACATTCTCGTTCTATCTCTCTCGTGCTCTTGTTCTCTCTCTCTCTATGTCTCTCTCCCTCTTTCTTTCTCTCTCGTTCTCGTTCTATCTCTCTCGTTCGCGCTCTCTCGTTCTCTTTCTCTCTCTCTCGTTCTCGCTCTCTCTCTCTCTCTCTCTCTCTCTCTCTCTCTCTCTCTCTCTCTCTCTCTCTCTCTCTCTCTCTCTCTCTCTCTCTCTCTCTCTCTCTCTCTCTCTCTCTCTCTCTTTATCTCTTTCTCGTTCTCTCTTTTCCGTTCTGTCTCTCTCGTTCTCTCGTTCTCGTTCTCTCGTTGTCGTATTCCCTCTGTCGTTCTCTCACTCTCGTTCTCTCTTTGTCGTTCTATCACTCTCGTTCTCTCTCTCTCGTACTCTCTCTCTCTCTCTCGTTCTCTCTCTTTCGTTCTCTCTCACTTTCTATCACTCTCGTTTCAATCAAAGCTACCGTTTCTGGTTGCATCCAAACTACCGTTTTTTTTGTTCATGTAGTTCTCTCCCGCCCACTTTCTATAGCTCTTCGTTACCCTTTCTTTATAGGCAGCAGCAGATTAGTGTGTGGTGTGTAAGTCTTGTGTTCTTGATTCCAACTTTATTCACTGATGTTCAAATGTGTATCTGCTGATTCTTACAAATCCGTTTTCATCCGTCGTTTTCAATCTCCAAATCGTTTTCATCGGTTATTTCACAGTCTCTTTTTTTTTCTTCCCATTCTATTTCCCATTTCTCTCCCTGTTTTCTCCTCAGAGACTTTGCTGTATCCTTCAAGAAGTCCACTTTCATTTGGAATATGAAACTATACCAGTGGCTGATGTTCTGTAGGATAATTGTTTTGTGTTGGTATATTTCCTTGCATGTTTCTGTTTATTTCGTTCGAGTGTTCAGGTTTGTGTGCGTATGCGTGTGGTTTTGTTTGCATGTTTGTATGTGTGCATGTGCATTCATATCCATGTATGGTTGCATTAACAATGCATGTCTGTGATTTTTAAAAAGTAAGCTCAGATCTATCATTTCACATAAGGTTCATTGGCGCACTCAGTGACTCGTGTGCGACCACTTCGAACTGGATTTGATAGAGTTGACTTCTTTTTTAGATTTCACAGAGTGTGTTGTTTCATGTGATTGTTGATTATTCAAAATCTATGCTATTGACCTCCCCCCCATGCTAGGCAGGGGATGGCGGTAGCTTAGTTTTTGGGTCGTTAACTGTCACGCATTTTATTGTGTGCATGCATGTGCATCATGATTCATGACATCACACTATTAAACATTATGCATCATATAGCATTATTTATGCATCATGCATCTATTTATCATTACCACAGCACCATTTAATAGTAACACATACTAATATATAACAGTACAGCATATATTCACCAAACCACTGACCAGAAAAACATATGATTTAATATATTGTGAACAACATTTAAAATTCTTCAACATGCACACGTGTGGGAAGGGTGCTGTAGTTTACGGATTTTATTTTCATGTTCTATTAAAAATGATAAACATGAAAATAAAATCTTGCAAAATCGATCGTAAAGGGTTGCTTCGCAACCCAAAAAAATCACTTCGATTGGTTTTTGCTTTTCGAGTTCGAGGGGAGTGGTGACGTGAGATGCTTAGAGATTCCCAGCGTTTGTTCATCAGTCTAGAACGATTCAGTGTAGTTTCGATTCGAGCCAAAACCAAACTGATGTTGCGAGCGATTCAACCTGATATGCCGACAATTCAATCTGCATCACCAGTGCCTGTTTGCTGCTGTTTGCCGAATCGCCTTGCTGCCATGCGCCTAGGCACCACATCGTTACTTGCTTACGTCAGTCGCAGTCGACATCTCCCACCTCGTACCCGGCGGGGATTTCGACGTAGGGAATGAATAATTCACCTTGTTGCAAAGGAGAGTGAGGTACATTCTCCACGTACTACGGTGCATAACGGCCGATCTCTCCAAGCGCGTCGCCTCGGATCGTGTGAATTCACTGCAAGTAGCGTTTTCTTACTGGAAGGTTCAGTCAGATTTGCTACCTTACATCCGATACTCGCCGGTGCGATTTTGTCTGGCCGTCCGTCGCCTCTTAAATAACTTGCACGATCACGCGGAACGGCTCTGCGTGAAGCGTCGATGGCGCGATTTGCTTTCCGCGCGCCCTCGCTCCGAACGCTCTCGTTCCGCGCGCCCTCTTTCCGCGCGCCCTCTTTCCGCGTGCCCGTCCTGTCAAACCCTGCGCTGCTGCTAGCCGTCGCCCTCGTCATCGTCGCGCCGATCCACGTCAGCAGCAGCCCGCACAGCCCACACGTGGCGCGATGCTCGCCGATCTGGCAGACACGTGGCCGTCCGTGCTCCTGGTTCGAGGTATGCCGTTTATGGTACCAATTCCTTTCCTACCGATCCGTCCCTGTCTTAAACATGAAATATTGTTTTGGTTTGTTTCATGTTAATTTCCCTGTGCAGGGCTGGTACGTGCGTGTAGTGGATCCCTCTACAGGAGGCAGCTATGCTGCAATAATTGGCTCCATGCCTATAGCGAATCGCTCTATAGCGATGCTGCTCAGCTGCCACCCCAAGAGGAAGGGAGGGCGGGAAAGCTGTCAGGTGGGGGAAGGGCGGAGAGTGTTGAGAGAGGAGGGAGAAGGGGAGCAGGAGCAGCAGCAGGGGACAGGAAAGCCAGAGGGGGGGCAGGGTGGAGGGGCAGTTGGGGAAGGGCGGAGAGTGTTGAGAGAGGAGGGTTGGGGGAAGCAGGAACAGGAGCAGGAGCAGGAGCAGGAGCAGGAGCAGGAGCAGGAGCAGGAGCAGGAGCAGGAGCATGAGCAGGAGCAGGGGACGGGAGAGTCAGAGGGGGGACGGAGTGGAGGGGCAGTTGGGGAAGGGGCATCAGAGGCGGGAGCATGCGGGGTAGGATCATCTGGGGAAGGGCCTATCGAGTACGTGATGGGGCATGATGCAGCTGGTGGCACAGAGACAGGGGCATTTGAAACCGCAGCAGGATTTGAAACAGCAGCGGGTGGAGGATCAACAGGTGGAGCATTCGAGACGGCAGCATGTGAAGTGACGCTGATTGAGAAGGTGGAAATAGCGGTGAGTAGATTTAGAGAACATGGTGTTAATTCGATGGTCCCGAAGCGGCACTGGGTGGGATAACAGGTGGGGATCTGGGATGGGAACGTGTGAAGTGACTCTGATTGAGAAGGTGGAAATAGCAGTGAGTGAACGGCATTGGATGGAGGCTACAGGAGCAGTGAGTGTTTGTTCCGATGGTTCAGAAAGAGCGGTGGGGGAGTTAGCAGGAGGAGCATGTGGGATGGGAGCATGTGGGATGGGAGCATGTGAGGTGGTGGCACTAGTTGAGGAGATTGAGATAGAGATAGCGGTAGAGACAGCGGTGCGTGGATGGAAATGGGTCGAGAGTTGAGGCAACGTTGTATCGCTTTGTGGATTCTTGAGAAACAAACATTGTTTCGTGTTGTTTGAGTCGAGTCGAATCACGTCTATTCAAGAGCTATTGATTCTCGCCCTCCTCCCTTGGACTCAAACAACACGTCCACAGATAAGCGCACACCCCCCCAGGCCCCTCTCCTTCTGCTCATTCAATCGACAACCCCCCCTCCAACCCTCATCCCTCTTCCCTTTTCCCCTAGCGGCCCAGCATAACAGTGGGCACGCACCCTCCCAAGCCCGTCTCCTCCGACCCGTCGGACTCAGCCCCGCCTGTGTTCGAGTGGCGGGTGGAGGGCCATGGCTTTCTGATCTCCCGCGGGTTTAACCACACGGAAGTGGATATCAGAGTGGGGGGGTCGAGGCTGCAGGCTAATCTGACCAACCAGGTGTGTGTGCATGTGCACCCCCCTGTGTGCGATTACGTGTTCTCTCTCCGCCACATTGCACCGAAATGCATCTTTTCCCTGTCCACTTGTTACGTCAAACTTTTCCCAGCGCATTTCTTGGTTTGAGTCGACGCAACAATCGTCTCTTGCAGCAGTGGAGAGTGGGACCTCGCTTCCCAGTGCTTCCACCCTTCCCTCTTCCTCACTTGCTCATTTCATCTCTCTCCCTCCCTCCACTCTTCCTCTCTTCCCCTCTCCTTGCCGCCAGCACCTGGGAGCCTTTTGATTCCAGGGCGGGCCCAGAGGGTTGGAGCTGGTTTTTTAGAATTCTCAAAACCCTTGCCGCCAGCACCTGAAAGCCTTTTGATCCCGGGGCAGGCCCAGGGGGTTGGGCAGCCGAACCCGCCCCATCCCCTGTCCCTTCCTTCTCTTCCCGCACTTGTCCTCTCTCTCTCTCTCTCTCTCTTCCGTCTCTCCCTCTCTCTCTCTCTCTCTCTCTCTCTCTCTCTCTCTCTCTCTCTCTCTCTCTCTCTCTCTTCCGTCTCTCCCTCTCCTCCCCTCTCCCTGCCACCAGCGCCACTGGAACCCGTCTGATCCCGGGGCAGGCCCAGAGGGGTGGGCGGCATCAGTGTCACAGCTGATTCCTGGAGGAATGGGCGAGCTGCCGTGCCGCTGGTTTGTCAACAGGTGGGCTTGCTTGAGTTGAGTGTGTACTTATTGTCCGTCCCTAGGTGACTTTTGAGTCGACTCATGAGTCTGTACTTATTGTCAGTCCCTAGGTGCGGTCCGAGGGGTGGCCGGGCTGGGCAGCATCAGTGTCACAGCTGATTCCGGGGGGATTGGGCGAGCTGCCGTGCCGCTGGTTTGTGAACAGGTGCGCTCATGCAGGAGAAGCTACACGCCGCGTTGGAGAAGTAGTGAGACGATGAGGAGGAGTTTGAGAGTGAGGTGAGCGGTACACGGTATGGGTGGCATTGAATCCTTGCCGCGTGCTGTTCGCCTCACTATCGGACTCTTCCTCATTGTTTCACTTCTTCTCCAATGTATCGTGTAGCTTCTCTGCCTCTTACCGCTTCTGGAAAGAGAGTGAGAATGTGGAGAGGAGGCGGTGGAGACGTCTGGTGTTCTTTTCCAATACCAGCAGCCTTCCTCTTTGTTCTCCCATCCCTTGCAGCCTTGGTTCAACCGCCTCTTACAATTTCTGGAATGAGAGCAAGAGGCGGGAGGTGTAGGGGAGGGGGTGGTAAGATATGGGCGCATGAGGAGGTTTTGCTTAGTGCTAAAGGCCTTTCTCTTCCTCCCCACTTCCCTTGCAGCCTTGGTTCAACCGCCTCGTACCGCTTCTGGAATGAGAGTGAGGGGGTGGCGGTGGAGGGGAGGGGGTGGGCGCATGAGGAGAAGAACTGGGGGGCGTACTTCCCTGCTGGCCACGTGTGGATGCAGGGCATGTCATCTGACAACAGCGTACAGGTGAGATGAAACCGTACTGGTAGACAGATAAAAGCGCACCACTGAAAAGTTTCTCTGAGGCAAGTAAGTCTGTGCTGGTAAGGTGAGTGGGAGCGTACTGGTGGACTGTATAGAAGGAGACACTCTTCAGTGGTGAGCCAAATTCAGAGTATGTACCTGCTTGTACCTACCTGTACCTGCCTGCACCTGCCAATTTAAATTTCAAGCCACTAACCCTTACTCACCTTCCCAACTCTTTCCATTTCCTCCGTCCTTTCTTCTTTGCACACCTCATCTCCCCACGGGTCTTGCTCACCGCACCTCCCACCCCCCATTCCTTTCCCGACCAGCTTCATATCCAGCTGGTGGGAGCTGGTGGAATTTTCCCCCTTGCTTCTCCTCCTCTCTCTTGCTCTCCGCACCCCTCATCTCTCCCTCGACTTCCGATTCATTCACCCCTCACCTCAATCCCCTCCGCCCTCTTCTCTTTACTCACCTTGTTCTCCCCATGCTCTCACCCCTTCCCTTCCCCCCCCTTACTGCTCCCCCCATTTTTACCAATTTTTTTCCCACAGCTGGTGGGAGCGGGAGCGTTTTTCCGCTTCGCCTCCCTCCCCTCCCTCCCCTCTCCACTGGTCCTCTCTCTCGGCCTCCGCACCCCCCACCACTCCCTCGACTTTCGATCCATCGACCCTCTCACCTCCTTCACTCCCCCCACCATCGACTCCTGCTCCGGCCACTTCTCCCTCGCCGCCCGGACGCCGACCGCCGCCCTGCGGGTGCGGGTGCATGCGCCGCCATCGTCTTTTAGCGGGGCAGTGTGGATGCCGAGGGCTGATGGGGATTGGGATGCGACTGGGCGGGAAAGCTTCAGTGCTGTTATGGAGATTGAGCTGGAAGTGTGGGGGGATGGTGAGGGAAAGGGGGAGGGAAAGGGGGAGGGGGAGGGGAAGGGTGATAGGGACGAGAGGGAGAGTTTGGGAGGGGTGGTAGGGGGAGGATGGTTGGTGGGTGGAGATGGTTGGCTGGCGAGGTTTGGTAGGTACATTTGGGGTGGTGTTTCTAAGTGGATAGGAGTGCGTAGTGGGAACGGTGCTAGTAGGGTGTATAGGTACACCATCCACAGTGCAGCCTTGGAGTTTGCTGGCGATTATGAATGTAAGCACAAGGAATAGATCTCTTCTGTCCAATTTTGGACTCTCCACATTAGAGCGTTGATGCTGCACTGCTGTGTGTTTCAATGTCATATGTTTTCATCAGAGAAGGAACTCTGATAATCACATTAGTGTAGAGGCCACAGCTGGTGGTTCAGAGGGATCAATACTGGTGTGTTAAAGCTAGGGTAGTGTGATAAATTTGTTCCTGACGTGTTTGGTCAACCTAGTCATAAGCCCATTTCACACGTAATCCGGAAAATCATCCAGCGAAGTGTCGTGTTACGCGAACATAGCCACGTCATATCAGCATGGCCGCAAGGTGGTGTAGGTCGGTGTGTTGATGATGTGAAACTTTCTTTGGAAGAGCGGCTGCGTGGTGAGCTCACCCCCAAGCTTCCAGAAATGCGAAGGTGGGGATGCCTAGGGATGGTTTATCGAGTGCAGATGACCTAGCCCAGATATTTGCCTCTTTACTAAGTTCCTTGTCTAAACATTAACGATTCCCGCTCACAGCTGCAGTACTGCCAGCGTGCCTACCTCCCGAAGGTGAATGGGTTCCCCTAATTTCGAATAAGTTCGCTGCCTCTAGAATTCGCTGAAAGCTCATGCCTCTTTGCTCACTACAAGGGCTGGAAACTCACAAGGAAGCTGGTAAGTAGCCCTCGAAACCCTATTGTCGTCTTGACAGAAGCCCATCGCACAACCTGGCTAGGTTTGGCGGAACCCAAGTTTGGCGGAACCCAAGTGATGCCCTGCATTTCTGCTTCTGGCCAGATACAGCCTGCCTCGCTTCGCAATTGAAAGAGCACGAACTAGTTTTGGGGCGACGCACATTCTTGATTCAATTCGCGCGCTTGCCTCTTTTCACTGCTCTATCCTAACCAGTCCCGCGTCGTTAGCAATCATCTTGAGAATTGCGACATGGACGCACTTTTTGGCAGAAAGATTGGAAACTGATTTTTTCTTGCTGATTAATTACAATTCGCCAAGTTTCCGTTGAGATTCTGAGATAACTTCTGCGGACACTATTTTCATGACGACCAGCCTTTCAGTTGTCCATGGTGGTACGCGAACTCTCCTCGTTATCGCGTCGCTCGTCCTGCTACTTTTCGCCGATGGGCCCGCCGTAACTCACGCTCGGATACTACCCTACGTCTTGCCGTATCCGGGTCTCCTAAAATGTGCGTCGCCGTCTCGTACGCCCCTTTCGTTCCGCCCGTGTCTGCTCCACGCCACCTCGTTTCCGTTTGTCCGACCTTCTCCGTTTGACCTTAAACGAGTCTGCGCACGTGTGCGCGCGTATGTCTGCGCCCGTGTGAGCGCTCAAATCTGTGCCCATGTGCTCTGTGTTTCACGCGACACTTTCCTCCCATGCTGCCGCAACGATGTGTGCAGGCGCACTGACGGCGAATCTCGAGGCGGACCTGGCGCCTGGCGGAGGGGAGCGCGCAGCGGATGCGCGGCTGGACATCCTCGTCTACAAGTGAGGGGGGAACATATTCGCTCATGTGGTTTCCTAGGAAGAGGAGAAATATAAAAGAAGCGAAAGGGAGATGGGTGGGGACTGCGAGGAATTCTGAGTGTCATCACTGACCAGAAATATTGGCCTGTAAGATGATCATTTATGTGGAACGCCCCCGCTTATTGACGTCTCCATATCGTAATAACACATAATTCCGTCTCACGTGCGTTTCCATTCCACATGCGTTTATCCCATGCGCTTCTTCATCCCGTTTCCATCCATCCATCCCTCAGCTATCGCGGCAAAACCAACGTGAAGGTGCATATTCACTATGAGAGCCCCTCTCTCGTGGCGCCCACAGGCCAGTCCATCCACGTGGGCCAGATAGGCAGCAGCAGCGAGCCGATCTGGACCATTGACGGCGATTGGACGGTGGAAGATCCCGGCGAGTGGGACCTATCAGTGTGGTATATGGGCGCAGGGAAGGCCAAGCCTGCAGGATCATCAAAATCGGTTTTTTCTATGGTGAAGAAGATTGATAGAGCGTGGTTTAGGAGGTCTTTCTATGTGCTGGTGAAAACTGCAGCGTACCCTAATGGTGCACTGCGGGGACAGATTAGACGAGCTGTTCCGTTTAGTCTGATTCCTTGGTCACGCTGTTAAATATGTGGCTTCATAGTCTGTATATAATGAGTATCCTTCCTCTTAATCTACTGAAATATACCAGCTGCCGTTTCCAGCTTTGGGTAGGAAAACTTCACGGGCGTAGGATTGTGTAGGGTTCCGAACAATTGTTGTTTCACCTGCACTGATTTCTATGTCAGGCTGGCATCAAGAAGCAACAGAACGTAATTTATTTCTCATGAGCATCTGTATTCGCTAGTTTATAATAGTTCGAAGTGAAGTGTTTCCATACCTGACTCAAGAACATTCGGACACAGCAAACGTGGCATCATATATGGTCTGTCCAATAAGCATCCATCTCGTCAGCATGAAATGGTCGGTTGACCGCCAAATCGGTGCACGGCAGCCAGGCGCCGTCATTCCCGCTGTCGGAACCCTCGGAACATTCATCCACATCAGCAATCGAAGGCTTGGCTCAATGCGACGCGTCACATTATTCTCTCGACTCGATCCCAGAATTTCCTGCAAGCAAACATCAACCCCCCCAACATAAATTGGCCCCTGCTTTGTTCTGAAGCCTCAGCACTCCCGCAATTGCCGCTAAGCGCGTTCCATCAATTTCTTGCAAGCAAAATCGAGTTCACGAGGGCGAAATTCTGCTGACACAGCTTTCGCGACATCGCTTCTTCATCTTGATCCCACTACTTTCCCAACTAGACCTGGTTACATAGCTTGATTGCGACTATGGCCTTCAAGCGACTCCAGTTCTCGTCGGGTGAGGTTTCTTCTTCCAGAACAAGCACCCATTCAGCCTGGTTTTCAGAAGCCCATCTTTCTTTCCTGACATTTGCTCCACTCGTCCCATCCCGTACAGGCTTCCTTCCCGTTATCCTCATCGCATCTATCGTCGTCCGTAGCACTTGCGCCGCCGATCATGGATTCAGAATTCAGAGCGCCACGTTCAACGGTAGTAACTGGGAGTCAGTGGCGTTTGCTGCGACCAAGACTCGCACATCTAGGAGGCTCGGCATCCTCCCGTTCCCCGGCTTTCTCAAGTGTAAGTTCGAAAATTCCAGACTCAATCCGCGGTTCCGAACCGCATACATCACGCCATAGAAAAAACTTCAGTAGCTTTTTTTCTTAAGTATACGGCAGCTGTTAGTATTTGCGGTCGCGGTCGCAGTTCCTTGCTGATATGCACGGTCTCCACCAGAAAACGTCTCCTCCGTTCTCCGCTCTACTACTTCTGATTTATTGTAGCGCGGCAAAGCGAACGCATGCGCATGTGGCGCCTAATGTTTGGGCAGGTGCGCTGGTGGCGTTCGAACGCGGACGTGCAGCCTATCTTCGGGGGGACACAACGCGGACGGCTTCTGAGACGTCTCAATATGCTTCTGTTGTGCCGTGCCGTGCTGTGCTGTGCTGTGCGGCTCTGTGTGGTGCTGTGCGGTGCTCGTGTGTGGCAGGCGCGCTGGTGGCAAATCTGAACGCAGGCAATGTGCGGTCCATCCTTGGGGGAGATCCCGGTGCGGACGGCCTGGCACTCATTCAAGTGTACAGGTGAGCGGCGCGGGGGATCTGATTTCGAGCAAATTGCTGGCTTATAGTATATTGGAGGATCCTGGTGCGGATGGCGTGGTGCTGTTTACTAAGTGCACGGGTGAATTCATTTGGCGCTGGAAATTTCTGTGGTGAAGACTTTATATACTTTGCCTCTCATCCCCTTTCCTCTACTCCTTTTCTGTCCTCCCAACCACTCCTCCTATTCCCTTCTCTCCTCCCCACCCCTTCCTCTCGCCTCCTTCTCTCATTCTCGACCCCTCCTCTCTCAAAAGGTACAACGGGCAGACCAATGTGAACATTCGCGTGCGAGCGCACGCCCTCCCTGTCCCCCTGTCATTCCGGCGTATGAATCAACTCAAAATTCTTTCTCCTCTCTGTTTCCCGCCCACTCCCCCCCACCAAAAGGTACAACGGGCAGACCAACGTGAACATCCGCCTGCGAGCGCACGCGCTCTCCTCCTCCCCCATCGCCCAAACCGTCAACAAAGGCCTACTCAGGCAGCAACGGGCTGCCTGCGTGGGTGGCATTACCTATAGTATCTCATCCCCTTCTTGTCTTCCTAACACCTCCTCTCGTCCCCTCCTCTCCTTCGCCCAACTCCCCATCAACAGGTACAACGGACAGACCAACGTGAACATTCGCCTGCGAGCGCACGCGCTGTCTTCCTCCCCCATTGCCCAGACCGTAAAAAAGGCCTTTTCAGGCAACAACGGGCTGCCGGTGTGGGTGGTGTCAGGGCAGTGGGCTCGAGACAACAGCAACGACGCATACACACTGCAAAAGTGGTACTATGAGGCTAATAAGAAGTACCCTCCTGGGTCTACTAGTTCCGTGTACTCTATTGTTCGGGCGATGGCCGGGGATCCGAGGCGGTACTATGCGGTGGTGAGCTCTGTGACCCGGCCGCTAGGGGCGATCAGGGGGCAGTTCAGGAGGACCCTGCCGTTTTTGCTGTACCCGTGGAATCCGTGCTAGAGTGGCTTTAAGCGGGGCCTCTTGGGATTTTATATGCTGCTGCTCGTGCTGCACCCATGGACAGGGCCCTCTGACTGGTCAGAAATTTTTCACGCCCCTGTCTTTCGCATCAGAAATTCTAACATTACTTGGCTTAAAAATCAGATTTTGTATGGTAACCCGTCCCTACTGTAACTACAACTACTACTCAGCTATTCTCTACAAAGAAAACATATCAAGAATAACTATCTAGCTATCTGAGTCAGAGTCAGATGCCTCATTGTCACTCAGTGTAACAGTTGCACGCACATCCACTCCTTCATCCTCACTGTCGCTATCTACTATGTGAGTTTTGGCTTTCTTCCTCTTGGCTTCTCCGTCGTCATTGGACGGCGCTTTCTGAGCTGTCGTGTTAGGTGCTAGATCCTCCCTGTCTCCCTGCCTCCCTGCCGCTTCCGTCTCTGCCTCCCTGCGCTTCGCAGTTGCCACTCCACTGACTTCTTTGGCAGGGCCCCTCTTCTTTGCCCCGCGCCACAGCTTCACCACGTTGTCCCAGTCTGGTTCGTAGTCAAGCAGGGACATGCACATGAGGTCGGAGAGTCGCGCATTGCAGAGGTTGTTCCTGAGCCACAACTTGATTACGTTTTGGCGACTGAACCCTCGCTCGCACTCCACAGTGCTGAGCGGAAGAACAGCCACTGCCACCCAAAGTCGTGTTGGGAACAAATAGTCTTAAGCGCCTCCGTCGTGTCGAAACTCAAGACACAAGCGAAGCAGCTCAAATCGAAGCACCGCGAGTCAACCCTCGGAGGTTAACGTAACCGCTGGAGGTTACGAGAAAGTCAAAGGTCAGCAACCTTTGACCTGACGCAGCGCGACAGCAAGGACACACAACTGACTTGACATTGAGCAGTTGCCCGAGTCGCACTGTATCGAACCGCAACAGTAAAACAGTTACAATTATGTCTCTTCATATTCTCTGTACTCATATATATATTCCTGTATCTCTTTGCTTTAATCAACTTACTTTGCCATCACATACTAGCGCAAGGTGGTTCAAGGACTTTATTCAAACGCTTCCGCTATTACATCATTTTACTCAGACTCTACAAAGATCCTAGGGCGTCTCAGCCCAACATGGTATGAGAGCTGGTTAGAGTTAAAAATTTCTCTTCAACACTTAATACATCAAGAAGACATGTCTGCTAGAAAGGAGAGGAGCTCCTCCAATGGCTCTCCCGGTACTACCCCTACTCCACCTCCTGCCTCTGGCCTGCAGACAGAGGAAGGGACAACAACGAGACCAGCAGCTGGGTCTACTGAAACACCCGCAAACCAAGGCGCGGGCTTCGATCCAAGCATGATGGAGAAATTCTTCTCCTTCATGTCCTTCTACGAGCACCATCAGCAAGGAGTACCTGCGCAGTCAAACAACAGCAACAACAACAACAACGTGACGCCCATGAGTCTCGATGGCTCATCCTACGCACGCGGGAATCAACATCAACAATCTACCTTCGCTCCGTACGAGCCCCAGCGCGGCTCCGTCAGCTTCATGCCGCAACCACAACCTGCACCGGAACAAGAAAGAGCACTGGACGCACTACAAGTTCAGTCGCAATTCGCGCATGTTCTAAAACTACGAACGACAAAACCTTTCGACGGGAAGGATTTCTTTACCTGGTCGTTCGAATTCGAGCTGATGATGGAAGGAGCGCAGATCCTTGGCTTCTTCGACGGGTCCCTGCCATATCCAACAAACGGCACGCAGTATGAGAAGCAGCAGTAACACCTATCAATCGATGATGGCGTACACAATACTACTGAGGAACATCACCCCGACTCAACAGCATAACATAAGGACTTACCGAGGTTACGGTAACTCTGCGGAGCTCGCGTACAACCACTTGAAGAACCTGTATCAAGCAACAGACAGTGTAAACCAAAGCCGGTTAATGGCGCAGCTGACAACAATCGAAATGAAACCAGGCGAGAAGGGCATGGCATATATCAGTCGCTGCCGCGAACTGCGCGACAAGCTTCTTCGATGTGGAGGATCGATTTCAGAAGACGCCTTCGTCACGGTCGTCATCGGCGGACTTGGCCCTCACTGGCGCTCCACTCGCGCCATACTACGAGCACACGGGAGAATCTCCGAAGCAACACTCTGCGCCGAAATCCATGCCGAGCAGCAGGACATGGACCTGCAAGAAGAACGACACAAGAAGAAAACATCAGTACCAGACTTCGCATTTCACACTCAGCGACGCTACAACAACAACAACAACAACCGGCAACAACAACAAGTGAAGCCAGTACCTCTGTTCTGCCACATCTGCAAGACTTCAGGGCATCCTCGTACGCACTGCCCGTATCGTCAGCAATCGACAACACCACAGCGACAACTTCGGCCTTCAAGCTCCCAAGTCACTTCAACGGAAGCAAACCCGACAACTTCAATTCAAGCTTCAACGACTCCAACAGGACAACGTGCACAAGGAGCAAGAAACATCGTCAACTGTATGGTGAAAATAACAGATTCCTGCACAACCGAGTCACCACCATACTACTCACCAGAAGAAAAACTTGACAACAGCACGCCTCGCCGCGAGTCACTTCAGCCGAACCCGACATACGCCGCCATCGCTCAAAGCGAGCCATCCGGAAAAGACACTTGGTTCTTGGAGAGTTGCTGCTGACAACACATGTGCTCCTCAGGACGTTTCGTTCAACGCGAGCACCGACTTCAACGAGAAGTCGTCATCACCGTCGCCAACAATCAGAACCTGCGAACAAGACGACAAGGCATAGTACAGCTTCAGTCACGGGAGACGAACGTCGTACTACAAATGTCAAAAGTACTAATCGCGGAGGGACTCGGCTACAACTTACTGAGCGTCAGCCAGTTGATGGCGAAAGGCATTCACTTGGAAGCCGACAGTACCACCCAGGAGTTCAAATTATACCACGGGAAGGGCGGCCTCTACATCGGAAAGGCGATCTTGAAGAATAACGTCTTCGTCCTTGACTTCGTCCCAGACCTGGGCACCGCAGACAGCGACGCCATCGTGAAATTCGCCGACTGGACACATCCCCCGGATCTCGACCCCGACTTCAGCCTGGAAGGCTTCTGGTATTCGCATACCATCCCTGAAGCAGAATGAACACGCGCGTTAGCAACAATTCAACATTCGACAGCAGCAGAGACAACATCGGCAGCAGCAGAAACAACACCGGCAGCAGCAGAGACAACACCGGCAGCAGCAGAAACATCATCAGCAGCAGCAGGACCAACGACACCAGTCCTCGTCGACGAAGCACCACCAACACCCGCAAAACAGCTGAATCCAACTCAACGAGAAGTCCACAGAAGCGCGAACTTCGTCGCCAGCTTCTACTCCAACTCCGACGCGTATCGACGCTAACCCGGACATCGCGCCTCCGAAGACATCTGGCACGCACGCATGGGACATCCAAGCAACACCGTGTTAAACAATACAATAAGAGCAGGAGTCCTAGACAAGGATTCATTACTACTACCCGACGGCAGAGAACTTCAACAGGCACGAGGAACTTGCCTCACCTGCCCCGAAGCCGACTTACCACATCGACCGTTTACTTCTCACCACAACCCGAGCGCACCCGCATACGCACCACTTGAGAAGGTGTACAACGATATTCTCTTCAATTGAGAACCAGGACAAGTCACTTACAACTACACGATAACCTTCATCGACGCCGCCACTCGATACGTCTGGCACCTAAACCTACCCAGCTGCGACATGGCACTCGCAGCGTTCGCCGCCTGGCTACCAGTAGCAGAGAGAGAGTCGGGAGCACAGCTGAAAAGCTTTCAGTCAGACGGAGGAGGAGAATACACCTCTCAGCGATTCAAGCAGTACCTCGCGGATAGAGGAATCAAGCAGCTCCTCTCCCTTCCCTATGCCCATCAGCAGCAAGGTGTCGCAGAAAGAATGAACAGGACTCTGCAGAACAGCATGCGCAAACTGCTACGTGGCATGCGGCTACCCAACCACCAGTGGCCTGCAGCAATGGACCACGCTGTCATGCTGCACAACTTGATGTCATCGTCCTCACTTCCGAACAATGCATCACCGCATCTACTGTGGACAGGGAAACAGGTCAGCACAAAAATGTTACGAGTTTTTTGGTGCATGGTACAGTACCGACCCCCAGAGGCACGAGCGGAAAGATTTTCACAACGTGTACAGTAGGGACTACACCTCGGCATCGAAAAGAATTACAACGCGTGGAAAATCTTCGACGTCCACTCCAAGGAAATAGTAGCAGCACGTGACGTGATCTTCTACGAACGACTCACGCTTTAGACGTACCTCGCCAACTTGCACGAAAATCAGGACCCCACAGGTGGCTTTCGTGGTGACCGAGCCTTCGCCTCAGCATCGGACGAAGCAGACTGGGACGAGCAGACCGTCGACAACGCATCAGAAGAAGCCGGACCTCTCCCGTTTTGCTCCGTCAACGTCCCCATGGACGAAGAAAATCCTCGTGAAAGCGCCAACGCCGAAGTCTTCTACCACTTCGCCGACAATGGTTACGTAACACCTGCGACAGTCAACACTAACGAAGCAGAACGGATAGGGCCGAATTTCATACCCGACCCAGAAGCGGGAGATGAAGCAGCTTATCCCGAGGACACAACACTCCCCCGCTACTCACAGACTGGACTGCAGATTCTCGGCCTCGTCACCGCAATCCACGTCAATGCTCTTCCTAAAGAGCCTGCGACAATTCAGCAGGCTCTGGTGGGGGAACACAAGGAGAAAAGGCGTGAAGCCATGGACAGAGAGTTAAAGGCGCTGGAGGAACGCAACACCTGGAAAGTCGTTCCCGTAAGCGTGGCAAGGAACAAGACCATCCTCATCGGGAAATGGGTCTTCCGCATTAAAACAAAGGCAGACGGTACAATCGAGAAATTCAAAGCACGCTGGGTCGTGCGTGGATTCGACCAGGAACACGGACGGGACTTCACCAAGACA